GCATCTTTTTGGCAAGATCATGCATTCGAGCACGATCGAACATGTCGCTACTAGAAACTCCCTAGCTTCTACTAGCTACCTCCCGGCCTACCCCCACTTGAAAACATCTTACAGTAACGAATCTCCTCCAAGTCAGTCAAGTCGATCTCCAAAATTTTTGTCCAGACCTGTAAGTCACAGTTGGTTTCTAATAGCTTCTTGTTACTACTAGTAAGGCACTTGTTACTAGAAGCGATGCACTTGTTCCTAGTAGCTTATTGCTTCTAAGTACTCATTTCAGCTGTCGAGGACTTTTCTCTTTACTTTTCTGGGCCTTGGGCTTTTTGGAGTCGAGCGTGGGAAGAGCGGAGGCAGGGACGTGGCCATGTCAGTTGAAGGACGTTTCCTTATGTTTTCCCCAAGGTAGCTTTCTGCAGCATGTGTACAGAGGAGCGTTTCCTGATCGACTGGACAGATGAACGAATACTTTTCCATGGGAGTGGACAGTGCCTTGGCATGCCCTTGAACTTCTTTTTGCTTGTTGGATTGAAACGAAATCTCAATATTCAACATCATGCTAGCGCTGACTGCAAGTTGCACGATTTTCTCGAAGCTAGGCTGGGATATTCCTCCAATGCTTGGAATCATTTTTTCGAGCACCTTGGCAACATGCATTTCAGCCGAAGATACCGTGATAGGTCTAATCGTCAGATTGCTGCAGCTTCAAGCACTTCAAGCCAGTGATGCTGAAGTTCTTTGGTATTCAAAACGACTCTCCAAGCTTTTTGATGGTCCTAGAAAGATGTGTATGTTCATCAACAAAATACACAATTGAGCTAGCATTGTCAAGGTCTTTAAGGTCTTTTCTGCTTGGACTTTGCTGTGGCCAACTACACAGCACTAAGAACAGTTGATATCTCGAACGTTCTCAGCATCACTCAGCATCACGGTTCCACACATCCATCTAGAGCAGAATCAATTTCTCAATGTGTTTCTAGGCAGCCTGGTGGTGATCCACCAAAGCTGAAGGAAAAGCTCGGTGAGTGCCAGGAAGCCGGAAGACTGAAGATCGCCATACACTTATATAGTATGCGGGAAGCACATCGGGGGGTTGTTAAGACAACATTCCTTGACCATGTTTCTGCTCGGCGTTTTGTCTTGAGACTCACAGCGTTCTTGAGACTACCTTGAGACCACGGGGCTTCGGATGTCTATCTTATCATGTCTATCTTATGTTTGTTTGTTCCTTAGTTGGCTCAGAAGGATTGTTTCTGCATGTGGCTCCCGAGGTCGTTCGCTTTGGGCCTCCCTGGTTCCAGCTACTTGGATGCCTCTCCATGAATATGCGCAAAGCACACTGAGTTTCTTGCAGTTCAAGGTGCGGCCTAATCCATACTGCCATACTGGGCCATACTTCTAAGAACTTCCATGGGCCCTGAGGAAGTTTGGTGAATTCCGCGGTGCGGATGAGGGTGATGGGCCATTTCGAGAAATCAAAGGACAGGGAACCGGATGCAAGACTTATTGCCAGACTGGTAGCCGTTTAATGGGTTTGATGTACTTCATTGCACAAGCAAACTGACAGCGCATGTATATCACTCATGACCATGTCATGACAGAATTTTGCATGTTATTGCTTGTAGGCTCGAGGGTAGGTGAATTTTAGGTTTGAGGAAGGGGGATGGAAGGAGCAATCTATGCTCCCGACCCCGAGGAGAGTGCCCAACTCCTGAACCTCCTCGCAGAGATAGGTTTGGTGGGTCCGGGACTCGCCATTAGCCATGGAAGCGAGCAGGTGCTGGCACGGCGGCTGGTAGATAGGTTAGGATTAGAGTTGAAGCCATGGCATGTGACCTTTGTTGTTGGCCAGGTGCGTGAAGCGGTTCAGATGGCCGATTTGGATGAGCGTGTTGTTGGCACTTCATCAACAAGGTCAATGCAGAACCTGTTGGACGCACAGGTGGCCATGGATAAGGAGAAGGTGGTGACCCTCGAGCCGAATGAAACCACCTTGGTTTTGCCGGTTGTGCCAAAGCGGGGCACGCTGGGAAGCGCTGGGAAGGACGGTGCGGCTGAAGAGCGGCCGCATTGCAGCCGAGGATGAGGTGACTGACAAGATATTGCAGAAACTCGTTGATGAGCTGGTGATTTATGGTGCCCCAGTATTGGACGATGTGAAGAAGTCCATGAATCCAGCAAGAGCGAAAGAAGCGCTGTTGGGAAAATATCGCCTATCCACAGTGAGGCGCTACCTGGCTTCGTGGCAGAAATTCAGAGAGTGGGCCGAAGTGTTGGGGAAGCCCGGACAGAGGCCGAGCAGCATCACCTTGGTGGACTACATGTACGCCCGAGAGGAAGAGGCATGGGGCCCTCAATCCCTCTTGCAGTAAGCACTGCGGTGGCGTGGTTCGAACGCACAGCTGGGACACCCGATGAGGACCAGTTGATGAGCCAGCAATTTCCACAGATGGCGATGAAAGAGTTGACGCGAAAACTGGAGCAAAATGCACCACCAGTCCGTCGGGCGCCCCGGTGCCTGGGATGCTTTGTGGCGCCTATGGAAACTTTGGTCGCGGACAAGGCCATACCATTCGAGGTCAGAGTGTGTGCATGGTTCAAGCTGATCAAACTTTGGGCATCAATGAGGTTTGACGACGCAGCCCATTTGAAGACTTCAGAACTCCGGTTTTATGATGGACAGCTGATTGGGATGATGCACCAATCCAAGACATCTGGAGCCGGAAAGAGAGTGCGGGAGCTTCCGATCTACATCACCAAGGAAGCGTATGCATTGCATGAGGACTGGCTGTCGGTGGGTTTCGAGTTGGTGAAGCTCCAAATGCCAAGGGATAGGGTCTACGTGTTCCCGGAGGGGTGCTTCTATGGGACGAGGTACGGGGCGTCGCGCGTCACGTATGCAGAGGCCTCAGCTGGGAGTGCAAGGACCTTGGCAATGTTGGAGGGTTACAACGGCCGCTTGATCCCGGACGGATGGGGGAGGTTCTGAGCATAGCGAACGGGCAACCTTACCTAGTGGGCTTGCAGCTCTGGGAGTGGAGAAATCTGACAGAGACCTCCTCAAAAGATGGTGTCCTGAGGGCTCGGACGTCTATGTGAGGACCTATAATGCGATAGTGAGAAAGATGCAGAGAAAGATGGTGAAGGTCCTGTGAGGGGAGAACACATATGAGGAGCTTGATGAAGGGGCTGTGCTGGAGGAGCTCAAGGTGTGGCTCCATGAGAAGTGGACTGTGCCGGATGATTTGGCGGAGCAGGTCGTAGAGGCATGGAAGGACAAGCTGGGTGTGAAAGGGATGCCAAGAGCAACAGTCCAGATCTCAGATGATGACACCACGATCTATGAGGGGTCACAAAGTGAGAAAGAGGACGAAGTGAAGAATTTGAAAGACCCGAAGAAGAGGAAAGTGAATGAGCCATTGGAAGAAGAAAGGGATGGCAACTATGTGGTGGTGTACAGGCGTGCTGGCAGAGGCACGTTGCACAGACTAGGAGAAAAGGGCTGTTGGATGGCAAGAAAAAGATTCTTTGTGAGGTCTGTGAGATCCACAGGGACTTGCCTCAGCCCGAGGAATATACGCTTCGATGCAAGCTGTGTTGGGGCGGAGGAAACGGACAGTTGAGCGAATCCACAAGTGATTCTCGAGACGAACTAAGTCTCAGCGACTGAGAAGGGTTGCGGGGACGCGGAATCGGGTCAATCTTGCAGAGGATTCTTCCCTTTGGGTCGCGCCCAGGGGGCGGGCAGTGTGCAGCCACACTCATGCATAGTCCAAGTAGCACTTGGCCGGAGCCACTGGTAGGATAGCGTTGTTGTCGCGAGCCGAGCGAGCCGCTCAGGCGGGAGGGCAGTGCGCAGCAGGCGCAGGGGAAAATCCAGTGGAGGAGAAGGCGGGGTCGCACCTCGAGCAGCAGTGCATTTCACATCGCATGTGAGAGGTTCAGTGCATCGCATGCACACGGAGCACTGCAGGGTGTTTGACAGCATCGCATGCTGCATTCTTGATCGGTTCAATCAGGAGGGGGGCGGCGCGCTGGGCGGACGCCGTCATGCCACGGGCCGTTCTCACCGAGGATGAGGGCGGTTGGGGCTCCGTTCAAGCGGTCCAAGCAGAGGGGTGGCCTGATCACCGAGATATGCAATGGGGCTTTCTGCGCAGAGGACAGAGTGGGTCATTACGTTCGCTGAGGGATCGCAAAGAAGTATCCTACAGAGGGTTTGCTGCAGGGCTTGGCAGGCTTGGCTTTTCGGCCTTGGCACTCCGTTCGGGAGAAGCCACTTCTGGGGCCGCTTTATGCCTGGTCGTCAGCGATTCAGGCGAACCGGGGTGAGATGACCATCCCATGGGCTGTCTTGTTCATCCTGGGCTGGATTGCGCGGAGGCTTGAGACAGGAGGCCGCATGGAAGTCGTGAAGCAACCTCAAAGACCCGTCCAGGGCTGGACAGATGCCAAAGCAACAGAACAGGCAGCCTGGACAGGTGGCTGGTTGGAGGAGAGTTCAAGCAGCAAAGAATGCAGATTGTTCTCCCTGAGAGTGACAGAGGTGAGCGCACCGTGGCTGTTCTACAGGCAGAGGAACCCAAAGAGGGTAATTGCTGCGTTGGAGCTCTTGGCTGCACTGGTCGCATTAAAGCTCTGGCTGGTTGAGGCAGGCGTGTCAGCAGAGGTTTGCGCCGAGGCCTTCACTGACAACAAGGGCAATGCGTTCATTCTTCGGAAGGGCCTTTCGACAAAATACCCAGTCACGATCTTGGTCATTGAGGTAGCCGAGACACTCAGGAGACTGGATGCCTTTGCGGCGCTGACATGGGTGAGGAGAGATGGCAATACGTTGGCAGATGCCCTGACCAACGAGGATTTCAGTGCCTTTGAGAGTCAGAGAAGAGAGCAAGTGGAGGAAGACAAGTTGAAGTGGTATGTGATGGATGAACTCCTCAAAGGCAGTGAGACATTGTTCAATGAGATCAAAGAGCACAAGGACAAGAAGAAAGCGACAAAAGCCATCGTGAATCAGACCAAGAAGAAAACTAGAAAATTCTTTGATCGTTGGAAGGCCTGACTGAAGGCGGGGCAATCTGCTCCAGAGAAGCTCTCTGGGGCAGACGGCAGGAGAACCTTCCAACCACTTGTATTTAAAAAAAGAACCGCTTCTTTGCTACATGTGTCGGCCGACTGTGTTCATACAAGCACTAGTGCAGAATTCACTCATGACCATGTCATGACAGAATTTTGCATGTTATTGCTTGTAGGCTCGAGGGTAGGTGAATTTTAGGTTTCCCTACCCCACCCTGTCAGGCGGGACGCATCCCGATCCAGGTGGGTCCGCGACGCTCGCGGGACAATCTGCTCCAAAAAAGCTCTCTGGGGCAGACGGCAGGAGAACTTTCCAACCACTTGTAGTTAAAAAAGAACCGCTTCTTTGCTACATGTGTCGGTCGACTGTGTTCATACAAGCGCTAGTGCAGAATCGCCTTCAATCCTGTAACATTTCTGGCGCCAAGACTTTTGAAGTCATACTGGTGATTTCAGGCGGCCGTCTTGATGAAGCAACAGCAGAGCTTGGACGCCAGGCGGTAAGGCACCTGGTTGTGACACGGGGATGGTGGGGTACAGCTGTGGCTTCATACTCTTCCATCGCTCCTTGGTGGACGGAAATGTATCACTCGATGAGTATGTAGTGGAACAGGCACTCATGTGCACAAGTCTTGATTCCACCATCCCAATTGTGGTTTGTTTCTTGAGGCCTGTATTTGGGTTTCGTTGTTCTGCTGCCTGGGTATATATAATTCCCCAATAGTCATGCTATGTGGTCTTGCAAAACTAATAGGCGGATTTGATGGTGTCCCGATCATGTGATGGTGGCGAGGTCATGTTGTGATGGTGTCCCGATCATGTTTTGATTGTGTCCCAGT